TCTTTCTTATCATTCCATTGCATCTTGAATCATCTCAATCGGAGTTCAGATGAGAGAGTTATGCTCAGATAACGAAACGATGTCGAAATAGTCTAATTAGCTTCGTTTTGCATTTAATGTCTCCATTTGCATCCTAAATCAAAATATAAGAATAATGATTACTTTTACGTTTCAAATAAGTATAAAAGGCTTTAAAGAACACCCTTTATCACCTTTTATTTGCAAACATCGCAAAACTTCATTAATATCCGATTCGGATGGGTAAAATAAAAACTTTAGTGTTTCGGGTGTACGTTGACTTGAGTTTTGAGATAAATCATAAAAAAAATATTTTTAAGTTAAAATAACATTAAAAATGAATCTGGAACATCGACAAATCTTAGGGTAGTCATATGGATCAAATTGGAGATTCTTAGTGGCAAAACTGTACATTTGGAGAAACCCAAAATAGCCTGTGAACAGTGTTTTTTGGGGTTGCTATGTTTTAAACTCATTTTCATCTCATTTATTCTCATTTCCTTCACTCTCCTCACACCCCCACACCTCTTGGAACCCTAGAGAACATTAGAGAGAAAGAAAGAAAGAGAAAAACAAGTAATTTAATGGTGATTCAAGATCAAATATTTTTGTTCTTCACACAAAAAACTAAGGATTCAAGGTAGGGGTTTTCTCTCATTCACTTACATTGAGGCTATGGTATTTATATATATATGTTTTGACTATCAATGATATATATATGCTATGAAATCATCCTCTCTTAGAATTTTTGCAAGAATTACATGTTTTGAACAAAGTAAGGTTTAATACCAATGAAATCTTCTTTCTAGTTTTAAAACCCTAATTTTTGGAGAGTGATGTATTTTCTTCATAAATGCTTTCTTTATTATGGATTTCGAAACTGTAGTGCTTTGTGTTGGGTACAAAAATGATGTTATTGAAATCTCATGTATTTTCCTAGTTGGTTGTGTAATTGTTACATGATATATTTTGGGAATTTTGGATAGATGCTTGTAAATTGAGATGAATGTTGGAATTGTATGCTTGGTTGGGTTGTTTGTGATGCACATGAGTGAGAAGTTCCTTGTAAGGAGGCTCACCCCTTCCCAAAAGGATCCCGGTAAGGATACTTGGGAAATAATATAGTGATTGGTGAGAGGTTCCATGTAAGGATGCTCATTCATTTTCAAGAGGTTTCCGGTAAAGATGCTTGAGAATCAAAGGTAACCTAATGGGGAGTGGAGGTTACCATAAAGTATGCCACCTACCGAAAGAATTGTTAGGAATTAGTTATGATAATTAATGGTTATTATTTTTATGTGGTGCTCGTTTATTCATTTAAGTAATGTTTTTAAATAAACTTGAAATCCTTTTTAAATGTCACTATTTTATTTCAAATTATGTATCTATGTTATGTTAAAATTGAGACCGACCATTTTAAATGCTTTTCTAAACCTTGTATGGGTTTGAGAGAATTTTTCTACAGAGTTTCGTGCTCACCCCCCATATCGTTAACATTTTTCAAATTACCCGCTTGAGGAGGAGGACGTAAGGGTCGAGGAGCCCGCTACTTGGGAGACTCCACTGGACGGGAAGGTGGATTCCGAGGTAGACGCATAGAGCGACTTCCTTTTCTTTTGTATTAGACTAGGACATTCTTTTGGAACATTGTGTAGTCTAGCTTCTTTTGTTTATTCCACTGCGCTTCTTTAATTAATTTTTGAGATATAATAGCCATGAATTAAGCTTATTCTTTTGGATAATGTTGTAAATATTCGTGGATGACAAATGCAGTCTTGTTTCTTAAGGGATTATATTAGTGCTCTCATGATATGAATGATTTTAGAATGTAATGTCGTCCAGGGTGTGTTTTGGGGTGTTACAGTTCAAGACATCTTCCTAGCAACTCACGGAATTTGGAGCCATTATGCAACGCACGCTAGAGAAAATTTAGGGTTTTTTGGAAGCCAATATCTAATTAGACTTATTTGGCAAAAAGTACATAGAACAAAATGTGAGTTAAAAAGACATAAATGCTCATTGTAGGGTCATTTAATTCAAAATCTATTATCTTTAATGCACATTGATTCATGTGTGTTTGTTAATACATATAAATACATATTTAATGCACATTTGATTAATGTGTATTTGTTAATACATGTGTGTATATATATATATATACTTGTTTATATACACATATATACGAATATATATAATATACTTGTTTATATATACGTATATACGAATATATATATACTTATTTATACACACACACACACACACACACACACACACACACACATATATATATATATATATATGTATATACAAATATATATACTTATTTATACACACACACACACACACACACACATATATATATTATTAAATCTCTTATTTACATTTTGAATTATCTTTAATGCACCTTGATTCATGCATATTTTTTTTTAAAAGTGATTTTATTTTCAAATTATATTTAATGCACCTTGATTCAAGTATGTTTTTTTTTTGAAAAATAGTTTTATTTTTAAATTAATTTAATATCCGAATAATATAATAGTATAACAATAACAGTGTAATAAATACACTGTAACAAAGACAGTGTAACAAATACTCTGTAACAAAAACAGTATTCAGTAGTTTTGTGTATATGGTAACAAATTCAAAACAGAGATGAACTATTTTGAATGAAATTATATGAAACTATTTGTTTGACAAAATGTAATAGTATAATATTTTGTGTAAATAGCTTATTACACTATTATTGTTATACTGTTATATTGTTAGTGTTATACTGTTACACTTTATATTGTTACACTATTACACTATTCGGATATTAAATTAATTTAAAAATAAAACTACTTTCTAATAAAAAAAAATATATGAATCAAGGTGTATTAAAAGATAATTTAAAATTTAGATAAGAAATTTAACAATAAGTATATACATACATACATACATACATAAGTATTCATATATATATATATTAAAGTTCTCCCATAAAAGTCGGAGATGTTTAATGCACCACTTTTCAAAGAAAAGTGGTGCATTAAATACACATGGATTAATGAAGGGTAAAAATGTCACAATAAAAGTAGATAAATTCAAATTATGTACTTGGATACAAATAAATATCAAAATTAAATACTTAATAACCCTACATTTTTTAGTATGTACTTTTTACCAAATAAGTTTAATTTGGTGTACCTCTTACAATTTACCCTAAAATTTATTATTGTGGGGGCACACATAGAGGTGTTCATGGGTCAGGTTACCCAAAGGTTCTGTTATTTGACCCCGTAAAAAATAGGTCCAAAATTTAATAGGCCTGATAATTGGCCTGTCCGAGCCCAATATTCTTAAAAAGAGGGCTTGATTTTGCCCTCAAATCCATTATCGGGCCTGAGCCCCCAGCCCAATAGCACGCCCGAAAAAACCCATTAAAATTTGACCAAAAAGCCCGCTCACCCTTCATTTGAAATAAAGTTATACTTTTAAACTATTAAATTTGAAACTTTGAAATAAGTATCTCATTGTCGGAATTTGAAATTTTAAAATTTAAGATACTATAAATAATGTTTTATTTTCTTTTCCATGTATTAAACATACATGTTTTAAAGGGTAGAGTAATTCAAGTGATAGATAAGTAAGTAGGTGTCAACCTAATTGAGACGTATTCATTCTATTAAATGTAGTTCATTTTCTAATTAAAAATAAAATTATTAATTATTTTATTTTTATTCTTTTTGACTCTACTTTTGATTCAAAAATATAATTTACACAAATATTAAGTTACAAAAATATTAATTATTTTTAAATGAAATTGTATATAAAAAAACCCGCTAGTAGACCTACCCAATAGGCTAACGGGTTGGACTGCGGGTATCTTACCCGTACCTAAAACCTGTCCTGCTCTGCCTGATAACTTATTGGGATAAGGACTTGGACCTACACTACTTAGCCTGGCCCAAAAAAAATTTGCGGGCTTAACCCGGCCTGGCCCGGCCCATGGATACCTCTAGGCACACATAGTTTGTCATCCGATTTTTGGTTTCCTTTCCAAAATTTCAAAGTGGTTTTGGTAAGAGTTAGTTGAGTAAAAAATTGGCTAAAAACAAATAAGCATAAATTTTAAAGTGGTTTTATGGTTCGTATTATAAAGGTTATTGATTCACTTCTCCAAAATTTTACCATTTTTGGTTAAAAAAATAAGTCTCCAGAGCTATAATAATACTGCACAATCTTAATTCTGAGCTCCCAACAATACTTTGATGATGCATATTGAGAGTTTGTATTTTTTGTTGTAAATGATAACTTCAGAGTAACTAAATTACGTAAAATGTTTTGACTAAACTACAAATTGTCGGTATATATGGAATTCTTTCAAGGTTGACCAAGGTGGATATTGATTCTGTATATAAAATCCATTCGCTCCATCACCCTTTATGAATTCACTAGTCACAATGGGTGCAATGGTCAATACCTCCATTGGCATCCGGAGAAAGGAAGGCAGAGAAGCAAACAACCTATGCCATCCCACACAAGAGACCCTGGTGTGTTGCTTCTTACCTAATCCTGATTTCCTTCCCTCGACCAACTCGTTTGGTGGCTCCATACTTTCTGATCAACTTGTGTATTTAAAGGGATAATAAGTGAGCCATCAAGATTCAGAAAAGAGGTGCAAAATCGTGTCGTTATATCGTCCAACTATATTAATTAAGTCAAAACATTAAAATATAAAGATAAAAATCAATGCCTAAAGATATTATAACAACAATAAGGGCAACAGTATAGACCAACTCTAGAGTTGATAGTGCTTTTGTATAAAGCATGCCATTCTAAATAAGTCACATGTTAAGCTGAGGTCTGTTGAATAAGCGATTTCTTGGTCCATCACTTAATCGATCTAGTTCTCAACAAAAAACAAAGTTGTTACTTAGATCATCTAATGTCACCCGCTCAACACAACACAACAAAAGTCTTAAACCAGCTATTTGGGATCATTCACATATTACATCTTCAAAAGCAACTCTTTAAACAATATGTTTCATGGAACTTGGTATACAGTAATGACGTTATGAAATCACCATGACCCAGTGAAGGCACACCCACCTGAAGCACCTTTGTATTCACTTAACATGGTTTTTCTGGTCATTATACAATTTGAGACGGTCTTTGTGCAATGCATCAGATATGGGAGTAACAAGAGAGACTATTGAAATGTGCTTATAGTACTGAAAAATTCATTTGTAAATAAAACCAAAGAACTTAATTCTAAATTAGCATGTATTACCAAAAAAGAGAGAATTTTCTAACTACAAAAAACCTACACTGTAATTGGTTAGTCGCAAAGGAAAACTGAGACCAGTATCTGTATCGTGAGTAAGCGCATTGCAGATATTGCCGCACAACTCAAGCTCGGGATTGCTCCCCCTTTATAACGGATTTGGAAAGAATAGGCCTAATAAATAAGTGAAGAAGATAGTACCTCGGACATGAAAGAATGAACGAACTTTATTGTTTTCCCTATCTACATGTTCTCTGAATCTCCTCCAGTGTTGCAAGTGCCAATTTCCATTCCGGGCTACTTGACTTGCTGCACAATATTCTATGTACTATTTCCAATTCATCAGGATCCGCTTTCTTCAACAACCCTCTCAGTACAGGCTGTATCTCTTCGGCAAATAAATGATTATCTCTATCTACTCCAGAATTATCCTGCTCCAGCATAGTCAAATTGTCTCCAAAAATTTTTCTCATTTCACCTCCAGAGGAACTTGATCCAGAATGGTACTTGTCCGGATCTCTAAAACTGCCTGAAGCCACGGACAGTTTGGCAATGTTAGACGTAACCTCCACCTTCTCTGTAAGCTTGTGGTTCCAGTACTCTATGCATTGATGATTTGGATCAAGAGCTTCAACAGTCTAAAAATACCAATGTTACTGTCAGGATAGTATTCAAAAAACAGAACCAAAGTGTGAAAAAGGGGAAGATGACTAATAACAACAGACTTATGTAATTGTGCTTGCACATCTGGCTTATTGTATGATAACAAGTGCTTGCCTTTGTTACCGTGTGAAAAAGTGCTCATCTTATTATAACATTCACGACTTTAGAGGCACTGACATCCACAAGTTTTAGTACAATAATAATGTTCTACTGTTGGGTTATTATGTTTCAGAGAGAGGCCCTAAAATTAGAGATCCATAATATTAGAGACCCTCAATGAATCAGTTTATTCTTTTACACAGAAATATAGTTTTTTTTTGTTTGACAGAAATATAGTTGATTTCATTATTATTTCTTCTAAATGTTCTCCTCCTGTCCTAGTGAAGAAGTTCCACAGGCTGAAATTTCTTCTAATACAAGCTGGTGCAGAAAATTCATGCCAACAGTCAGATGCCCTATTTAATCAATCCAACCAAAAACACATTGTACTTAAAGCACTAGGGAAGCAACCACAACTTTACTTTTGCTTTCACAATCCCAAGGATGATAAGTCAGATGCCCTATTTAGTTTCATTATTCTTTTCTTGTTTCATGGGTGATTTGATCACATGACTTGCATGAATTGCCATACTGTTGGAGTTATATTAGTTTATCCATGATGTTAGACAAATCATTTTTTTCTGAGATGGGCATGTGTTCAGATGAGTAAGAGGTATTGTCACTACATAATAATTTGAGAATTGAATAGGTGAAGAAACCTAGAAATAAGTCGAGAGTCAAAAGATATTACCTATTATCTTATTTAAATCTGCTTTGGGGAAATCCAAACTATGTTTAAGTAACAATTTTGACAATGCCAATTACCCAATGCCTGTGCTCCAAAATTTATGGGAACATTCTCATTTTGTGCCCAACGGATGTCTTTGAGTCTCCTAGCATCTGGAATTTAATGAAATTTGTTAAAGGCACAAAAAGGTGTAGGTTTACCTGAATAATAGGTGGGAATAGAAACCCAAACATTTCAAGCCCATTGATGCAGTGTGGAGGCTGCAAAGGGGGCAATCTTTGATTCCCTAAGCTGGTGTGTCTTGTGACTTCTTGATTTACTCTTTGCAGCACCTTTTCCCAACACTTCTCGGCTGAGGTATCTGCAAAGCTCTCACTTGGACACTCCTCTGAAGTAACCTGAATCATATGACCAAGAAAAAGAAAGCCCAAGCATCATACAGGGAAACAAACAGTAATAATTCACAAGCATAATTGGGTATTTTCAGATGTGTTCCCAAACAAATGATTCCACATAGTTTTTTTTAAGACCACATTCACTAATTACAAGAAAATTTGCTAATGCCTAATGGTAAGACTCCTATTATCAAGTTGTAGATAGTCCATGCTTTGGAAAGGGAAAATAAGTGCAGGAGCATAGTTTTTGCATTTTTCTCAATATTTAACAAGTATCTAAAAAATAAAATAAACATGAAGGATCTCATAGATATAAATATATTTAGTATAGGAGAGAGCTTTCAACAACAAAACTGCTGAGAATTTTCTTTGTCAAAGCTAAAAAGGGATAAATGTTGGTCTACTTTACTATCTGGAAAAAAAAATGTTGGTTACTAGTGCTTATGAAAGATCACAGTAAGGTTACACTGCTTGTCCATATTGTGTATTTTGTACTTATTAGATAAATAATTATATGTAACACCCCTCTCTAATAACTTACGCTTTTAGATGAGATAGTGTTCAACATGGTGGTATCAGACCCTAGAGTTCCTGAGTTCAAATCCCACCAAGCCTCCTCCCTTACTACAATAAAAAATAAAAAAAATAAAACCATGCAGATGAACCACCCAACGAGGGGCCACACTGCAGGGGAGTATTATATATTTACTTATGTAACGCCCTCTCTAACAGTTTAAGCTTCTAGATGAGATAGTTCAACAGTAATCTTTTACATAGTTCATGGCATGAATAGTCAAAATGCTATGAGAATGAAATCAACCCCAAACAACCCTCCATCCCTCACTCACAATCATGGAATGGGGGTTTGTACATGAAACCTACTAAGTTTCTAAATGCCACAGAAAAACATTAAAAAGAAAAAGAAACAAAAAGAAAAGACCCAGAGGTACATTCAGAACAAATTGCAGTTCATCATTCTACATGAAATCTGTAGAATTGCTTAAAAACCAATCTAACAACTTTCCTGGGCCTGCAGTTCTCAAATTTTAAACGCAGTAGAACCAAATATTTTACCTTAAACAAAGGCCCAAGGAAGCCACCATCCAGGATCTCTGATACATAGTTACTCATTTTGATTGGATTCAGCACATCAAAGAACTTTACACGGCTTCTAAATCCTGTTAAAGAGACCAACAATATAAACCGCACAAATCAGAATATGCCAACATATACTGAACAGAAAATTTTGAAAACATCGTACCGCAGCTTACCTTTTGGGAATATGGCCTGCTTATTGCACCACAATTTCCCAATAACAGCAGATCCACAATTCAGAAGATCGACGTGAAAGCTTGACTTTTGTAGAGAACAACTGTGGCTGGTCAGATGTTCCTTTACATTCGAGTGGTCTAGACTTTCAGTTTTCAATGAAATGTTCAAGGGAACAGCTGAAGATGGACCTGATGCCAGAAGATCAACCCCAAAAACCCTATTGCGATCAGATACACCATACCTGACATCACTTGAACACAAAGGGTGATCTTTGCCTGAAAGAACATGAGAAACTGAGGAACCAGAATCACTACCAAGTCGTAGTATTTTTGGATCCTTTTGTGCATCTGAACTACAATTTTTCTCTTGTGTACCCCTCGACATACAAGTCTTAGCCACATTCAAAACAATGTTGTTATCCAAGCAATCAGATTTTAGCTGCAACCCACTTCCATGATCTATAGAAATGCCATCAAGCTTCAAGCCAATACAGCACTTGTGCCCTAATTTACCTTCACAAGTTAGGGCTGGAATTTCTTCTCTAAGCACATCTGTTTTCCTCGGAGATGAAGATAGACTAGAAGTTTCTCGGTCAGTGTCGGCCTGGACTACTCTAGAAGAAAAATGACAATGTGAAGTACTAAAATGCTGACTATCATCTAACGTTGTTTCTGCTATTGGAGAACAAGGTGGTCGTTCTTTTTGCTTCAGACAGTAGACTTCAGATATCTCTCTCCCCTGATCCAGCTTAGTATCAGTCCTATCTTCACCATTTATAGAAATTGATTGTAGATCTTCTGATACCCATGCCTTTACAGCATCCAATTGCCCTTCCAATGCTTCAACTAGTTTTTTTAATTCGTCAATGGTGTAGCGGAGGAGAACGAATTTATGATCTGGTTCACAGGAACATATCAGATTCGCATGTTGAAGACATGCAAACCGGTCTGAGTAGCACTCACAGCAGGCAGCAGACATGTGTAAGTCATAAAAACAAGAGAAACACTCTCTCTCATTGTTCAAATCAAAGTCACTGTCCATCTTTCTAAAGTGAAAATGAGAAGGAAGATGCTCTATTCGTTTCTCTTCTATCTGAACTCTATCCTGAAAAAGTTAAAGTCATCATTAACTAGCTGAGAAAGAAAACAATATACACAAATTTCCACCATTAAAGCATCAGTGCATGCAGGGAGGCATGCCTATATTACACAGGAAAATTTGTGTAGATATGTGCATGCATATTTGCAGGTATGCTTGCACATATGCATATCCATTTGCATATTTATTTATATAGAGATGTAACTGTATATAAATACACGCACACACATGTATACTAGTGAATATCCGCCAATCTACCTTAACTGCCTTGGTAAGCACCCCATCCCTCCCACAGACACTTTTCCAGCTCAAATTTCCTGGATTCTCCTTTTTGAGGATAGACAACTCCCACAAGGCACGAATGGCTTCTCTTGCTGACCGTACTAGTAATTTGTCATGAGATAGTGATGTCTTGCGACGTTGAACACTATAAAGCTCCACTGCACTTTGTCCATGTTCTAACCAATCAACCGGGGCCACATTCACAGCCTCCGCACAGTTGAAGCCACAATTAAACCCAGAATGGTACGCCCTTGGAAAGGTGAGAATAAACTCCCCAGAATGCTGGACAGCTCGAAACACTGGTACACCCTCAGACTTTAGAACTGAAGGAGACAGCTGAGTGACCTGCCAAAACAGAACCATCATGATTCAATGCATAAATATCCCCGTTGAAGGCAGACAGAATTAAATCATATAAGCCCACATGCCATCACAACATAAATGTGATGAGGACAAGTGAAATTTGGATGAGTTTACTTCCAGTCAGACAAGATAAACCGACATATCAGGGTAAGGAACCCAAAAAATGGTTAATGTTGTAAGCATTCTTAAATCTATGTGATTTTTAAGTGTTTGACATGCAAGGTTGTCAAAACATGTATCGGAAGGCGTATCGTTTTTCAAACACAGTATATCGCATATCGTAACGTATTGCGTATCGTAAGATATGTGCAGTTTTATACAAGATATTAAAAAATACATATCCCTGTGACAAAATGTTTGCATCACAAATTTCTCACATAAAACAAGTTAAAGAGACTACAAGGACCAAAACAAAAAAAATTTACAGTCTAAGTATTGAAGTTTCTAACATAATTCATCAATATCAAAATTTATATAGTTCTAGCTCTAACACCTAAAGCAGCCAAATGAGGATACTTAATCAAACTATTTGCTCCTACGATAGAACGAATAAAAAAGCAAACTTTTATTTCTTAAAAACTGTAGATTGTAAAATGACATCGTTTTATTACCATGTGTCACTTTCAAGAAAAAATGCATCGTTTTGTAGTTAAAATTCAAAAGAAACTTTTTTTTGATCTATTTCGTCTCGTAAGGACGACTCGTACGAATCGTCTAATATATCAAGTGTATCATATCGTGTATCACATGATACGATGCAAACCGATACACTTAAGCGATACGTATCATTTTTTTTCATGTATCGCAACGTATCGTCTGTATTGTACGATACTAACAACTATGCCCACATGTACAATTCATACAATGGAAATGACTTTGTTGTATGGTAATGCTCAGGCATAAAAAGGATATAATAGCAGCACAAATCCTGAGCTATTGCAGTAACAACATATGTATTTTTGTCTTACCAGCTCATGAAGTAAACCTGGTTGTTCTTCGAACAAATCTGGCAGATGCTTTCTCATTGAATCCTCCAACGCAGAAGCCTGGCTTCCAGGTACTCCATACCATATTTTTGGGTCGCCCCAATGTAAGTAGTTTAGTGAATAGAGATGGTGATCCTCAACATGCTTTTTCAAACACCAGAAACACAAATCAGACATCAGCACAATAAACAACAACTAAATAGCTTCCAGTTGAAAGGAAAAAGGAGGAAAGAAAAAAATAAAAATTTAGATTGTTCTTGTGGTTTATTAAAAAAGAATCAAAAAAGAAAGAAGTCTTGTGCAAAACTATGATTTATTCTGGGGGGTTGTTTTGGGGTAAATTATTTTGGGGAGGGGTTGTCGACATGTTCCAGAAGAGTTTTCCAGCAAGGATTTGTACAGGCATAAACACCTAGAGGCACTGGATTACAAAAGATTAATTTGTGTTTAAAACTCGATAGGTGTTTAAAACTCGATAGATGCTACAAGCACTTGCTTACTTTTCCTAGCAACAAAATAGATAGCAACAAAATAGACAGCTACAAACTGCAATTTCTAAGCCAACAAGCCACTAAAACTTAAACCATCCAAATATAAAAAAAAATCAACTCTGAACAAATAATTGCTGACTTTATAATAAATCACCAATATTAACAATCATGATAGCTTAAAAAAATACTGTTTCAAATTGTAAGTTCTTTCCAGTTCAAATTGGTACCTTTAAAAACCAATTTAAAATTCAATTTCTTATCATTTATCTAAGGTCTGGAGCTAAGCTCAAAAAAAAAAAACCTACTAAATTTTAGTACAGAAGTTTGCAGTTTCTTTCACACATAATAAGATATGTCAGGTATCTAAGTTATCTGATTCATGAAAGGTGGAGAGGATGCATAAGATATTATATATATTTTTTATAAGAACATAAGATATCATATCAAACAAAAGAATGAGCCAATAAACAAAAGCGAGGCCAAAGCCAAATGCCAACCTAAGAAAGGATGTTTGTTGTGCACAAGGATCAAAATATTGTTTCAAAACGGTCAAAACATCCAAAATATTTCCATTTCTATGGAGACCGAAACGAATCAGTGATGGAATTGAAATTCTAATATTTCGAAGTATTCCACAATGTTTTGAAATATTTTGTTATATTTCAATGCATTTACACAATTATTTTAGAATGTTTTAAGGTATTTCAAGATATTTTGGTACATTTCGATTAATATTTTGAAAAAATAATTCTTACATTTTTTATTTTTTTATTCTATTTTCGAAATGGGTCGAAACGTTTTCGTTTTTTAGGTGACCGAAACAATGCACTGAAACGAAATTTTGATCCTTGGTTATGTATATCTACCCATATATACTTATGGGTTGATTACTCCCTCAAAGATGTAGACAATCATATGCCTGATGTTTGAAATAGTAGGAAAAGAATGAATATCATTATGAAAACTTGGGGAGAGCTAAAGAAGAAACCACCATCAGCTATCCTTCGGAAGAGCTTCTTGGAGGAGGAGAAATTCTAATGCTTTGCTCCAATAAAACATACCATACTGAGTTAGAAAGATGATATCTTTAAGTGTATTCACAAGGGAGAAGCGTGGATGTGTAAAATCACGGTAGTTGATAAAATGTACTTCATCTTTGATCAATCAATTTGGCAGAAAGTAGAGGATAAGCGTCAGATTTTCATTTGTCCAATTTCTTTCGTAACGCTAAGTGAATGATATGAAAAGATTAAGTAGAATGACATTTAATTCAACCTTCGCCAGTCATCATTTTGGAGAAGTTTGTGGGAAAAATTAGTGAGATGACGAACACAATTTTAGTGGTGGGACTTTCATTTGGTAATGGGGAGTCCTTTGGTAGCTTGTTTTTGTTGGAGATATAGCAGCAACCTAATTTATTAGGGTCTTATTAAATTTTTCTTTTTTACCTTTTTGTCCTTATGGTAACTCTCATTGACTATATATACGGGAGCTCTACATTTAGTTTGTATCCCTTTTTACTCACATTAATTCCAAGTTGATATCAAAGCCACAACCCTAACCCTAACCCTACCCTAGCCCCTCCTCTACGTTGCAGCCACCACACTGCCGCCGACTGCCCAAACCACCGACAACAAACACAACAAACATCAAACCCAGCGACAGCCACCGATTGCCCTTACATAACCACCGACTAGAGAGAATTGGGAGGAGGTGTTGTCCACTCCATTGGCCTACCAGCGAACAACACCTGGTATCATCCAGCAAAACCCCTGCTGCTAGCCACCGAACAACCGAAACATATAGATAATACAAACCTACTCCAGACCACTGACAGACAATACCCACTCCAGACCATCACATGCTCCCCAGCCGACTGCCCAAGACCGATTTACTCTGTTGTTCCTCACTCAGCCTTAAGTCAGCTGCCCACCTCTTCCTCTATCTCTCTCTTAGCGATCAGCCTTCACCTTTAGCCAATCGATTGACTACTCTTAGACCCACAACGCTAAGCACGCTGTTGGAGTTTGGGCTGGACTGGACAATGGGTTGTTTGGTGTGTTTTGCTAGGTGTAGAGTTTAATGTTTGCTCGGTGTATAGGAGTACGTGTTTTTTGGCTGGGTCACACTCTTCGTCATAGTTGTGTTTTGCCTTTGTGTGCCTGATTATTTGGGACCGTAGAACCTTTTAAGAGGGGTTGAATCCTCTTCTCAGTTGATATGCTCTTAATGTAGTAGATCACTTATTTATATTTATTGGACTTCTGGGCATTGTGACCTGATTATTTGAGAACTTTCTGGACCTTCTTTATTTGTCGCTATTGTTCGACTAGAGGTATATTGTTCTCCCTTATTTAATTCCTCTATTTATCTTAGAGTTATTTTTCTGTCACGGGTGCCCTAGTATTGTTGTTGATATGGCTACTACTGAGGGACTTGAGAACCCTACTGTTGACACCTCTACCGTTGAGACATCTATGGGTACTTCCACTTTTATGTTTGACCAGTATACAGTACCTACTAGCACAGTTGCATTACCAGCACTACCGGGCATGATCTCTCAAAAAGTTACGGCACAATTGTTGAATGGTCGTAACTTCGCTGAGTGGTCACGCTCATTCCAGCTTTTCTTAGGCCGTGTAGGGAAGCTTGGTTGGCTGACGGGATCTCACCCAAAGCCAGCTGATGCCGACCCTGGATATTCTGCATGGTTCTCTGAAAACTGTGCCATTCTTGGATGGTTATTTGGCTCAATGGAGCCCTCTGTTTGNCTGCTAGCCACCGAACAACCGAAACATATAGATAATACAAACCTACTCCAGACCACTGACAGACAATACCCACTCCAGACCATCACATGCTCCCCAGCCGACTGCCCAAGACCGATTTACTCTGTTGTTCCTCACTCAGCCTTAAGTCAGCTGCCCACCTCTTCCTCTATCTCTCTCTTAGCGATCAGCCTTCACCTTTAGCCAATCGATTGACTACTCTTAGACCCACAACGCTAAGCACGCTGTTGGAGTTTGGGCTGGACTGGACAATGGGTTGTTTGGTGTGTTTTGCTAGGTGTAGAGTTTAATGTTTGCTCGGTGTATAGGAGTACGTGTTTTTTGGCTGGGTCACACTCTTCGTCATAGTTGTGTTTTGCCTTTGTGTGCCTGATTATTTGGGACCGTAGAACCTTTTAAGAGGGGTTGAATCCTCTTCTCAGTTGATATGCTCTTAATGTAGTAGATCACTTATTTATATTTATTGGACTTCTGGGCATTGTGACCTGATTATTTGAGAACTTTCTGGACCTTCTTTATTTGTCGCTATTGTTCGACTAGAGGTATATTGTTCTCCCTTATTTAATTCCTCTATTTATCTTAGAGTTATTTTTCTGTCACGGGTGCCCTAGTATTGTTGTTGATATGGCTACTACTGAGGGACTTGAGAACCCTACTGTTGACACCTCTACCGTTGAGACATCTATGGGTACTTCCACTTTTATGTTTGACCAGTATACAGTGCCTACTAGCACAGTTGCATTACCAGCATTACCGGGCATGATCTCTCAAAAAGTTACGGCACAATTGTTGAATGGTCGTAACTTCGCTGAGTGGTCACGCTCATTCCAGCTTTTCTTAGGCCGTGTAGGGAAGCTTGGTTGGCTGACAGGATCTCACCCAAAGCCAGCTGATGTCGACCCTAAATATTCTGCGTGGTTCTTTGAGAACTGCGCTATTCTTGGATGGTTATTTGGCTTGATGGAGCCATCTGTTTGCAGGATCCACCAGTTTTATAGCTCTGTTCCGAAACTATGGAGCGCATTATCAGAGATGTATTCTCAGTCAGGACGGGGAGTTCGTGTTTATGAGCTTTCTCAGGAGCTCTCATATGCTCGGCAGGGAGATATGACCGTTCAGGATTATTATGGCTATTTGACCCAGCGCTGGCTTGAGTATGAGTCTCTACGTCCTCTTGCTGCTATTCCGAAGATAGAGCCCGAGGGAGCAGCATTCTTGCATACTCGAGAGCAGGAGGATAGGATTCACAAGTTCCTTATGGGGCTTCGTGATGAGTTTGAGGGACCTCGTTCTCAGATCTTGTCGATGTTGACACTTCCTTCTCTTTATGAGGTGTATGGGATGATTGAGCAGCATGAGCGTCGAGTCCGTATTGCATCACTTCCAGTTGCGGCTTTGAATCCTTTGGCTGACCAGATGGCCCTTGCAATTGTTGCAGGGTCTTGTTTAGGATCCTCAGTCAGGGGTGGGCAGCGCTCGGATCAGCGCCGTCAGGGTGCCTCAGATCAGCACAGACAAGGGAATTCTCGTCAGGGTGCCTCAAATCAGCGCAGACAGGGGGATTCCCGTCACTGTGATTATTGTGGCCGATCAGGACATCTCAGGACTACTTGTTGGAAGCTCCATCCAGAGCTTAAGCTACCTCTTCGCAGCCGTACTGTTGCTATTACTGAGGTACCACCACCCACTACCGCTACTCTTGCTGCTGCTGCTGCTCCACCTTGGCAGAATGATATGAATGCTATCACTTCCCGATTAGATATACTTATGTCTACTCTGACTTCTCAGAGTTTGACTACTGCTGCTGTCACCACTACAGGTATACCTCGTGCCTTTCACGTTTGTGCCAGTTCATCTCCCCTTTGATTGTTGGACTCGGGTGCGAATAGTCACATGA